AAACCTACAGTCCCTATCTTGTACGTAACCCGGGGACTGCCTGTACTTTGGGTACCAATCAATCACTCTCAGTTCTCTGATAAAACCATATGTAAGTCAGAACTGGCGTCCAGATTCAGCCGCTGTTGAAACTGATCAGTTTCAGCAGCGGCTGAATCTGGACGCCAGTTCCGACTTACATACAGATTCAACTTAAGAACAAACCTACAGTCCCTATCTTGTACGTAACCCGGGGACTGCCTGTACTTTGGGTACCAATCAATCACTCTCAGTTCTCTGATAAAACCATGGAAGTGTCAGCTCCTCCTGAGGCCAGAGCAGCTACATTTCCCTGTCAAACTCATTTCCTGTCCTGAAGTAAATATTTAAAAAGTCCCTGTCATAGTGAAGAGCCAGGTTATGAAAGTCCTTGAAGGACAGGAAGGAAAATGCATTTTTCCCCTGTGCTAGATGTTTTCATATTAGTGACAGACCTCGAGATAGATGTCTTTGTTCCAAATAATGCATCTGCCGGCAAGGCAAGCTAGACTCTACCTCGCTGATGTACCTCAACTCTGTCTTGGTGGAACCACTCAGTTGGCAAACTATCCAGGTCACAGGGCCTATTCTGTCGTGTTGCGAATGTCAGATGCAAGGGGGTTTTCTGTGTTAATTTCACTTGTGCTCATTTCACACAGGTCACTGAGCACTTTTGATGTTCTTGAGAGTGTCAATAACCACTAAGCCAGCTGGACCCAAAGGGTGTGTCTAGACTATAGCATTTTTTCAAAGAGTGGCCTTTTTTGAAAAAACTTCCCCTATGTCTAGACTTCTGCCGCGTTCTTTCAAAAGTAAATCGAAAGAATGTGGCAGTTTTTTCGACCATGGAAAACCTCATTTTATGAGGAATAACGCCTTTTTTGACAGTGCTCTTTCGAAAAAAGGCGCTATGGAATGCAAACTGTGCTTTTTCAAAAAAGAGCATCCAGACTGCCTGGGTGCTCTCTTTCAAAAAAGCAGCTTGCTGTTTCGAAAGTACTGGTTGTAGTGTAGACGCTCTTTTCAAAAGAGGTTTTCAGTCTAGACGTAGCCAAACTGATGGTCTAACAGGAAAGGACTCTCTGCCATGTAAAAAACTTCCCTGAGCCATGGGGGCAGGTAGGAGAGGAAGGAGAGAAATACCTGGGAAATACTCATTGATCTATATTAGACCGTGCACCTCTGATCTTGGGGCATTTCTGCAGAGGCAATCCTGGATACAAAGGCCTGAGGTACAGCTTGACCCAAACCAACCCTTCAAAATGAGAGAGAACAACCCTTGGTGACAGCTTCATGGTGTGCAGTGTATATTTCACATCGAGAAAAGACCTTTCCTTCTTTCTGGGACCAGCTTTCAGCCCCCCTGGTGCTGACTGGGAGCAGTAGGTACAGTACGGTTGTGTGATCCATTCCCTCAACTGGGTGAAGCTTTAAAATAATTTCTAATGACCAAAAATGCTCCGCTTTGCCTGTCCTCATTTGCTGAGGAGGTGCGAGTGCCCAAGAATGTCCAAGAGCGATCGATGAAAGCCAAGTATTAATGTGCAATGCATTCATCTGAGATACTTAGTATTTATTTGTATGGCTCTAGCACTAAGTGTCTATGGGTACGTCTACACTACAACGTTAATTCGAACTAACTTAGTTCGAATTAGTTAATTCGAACTAAGCTAATTCGAACTAACGGATCCAGACTAAAAAACTAGTTCGAATTAGCGTTTTGCTAATTCGAACTAGCATGTCCACATTAAGTGGACCCTGAACCGGGCTTAAGGATGGCCGGAAGCAGTGCCAGCAGGGCATCAGAGGAGGACTTAGAGCGTGGAGATGCTGTCTCAGGCTAGCCGAGGGCTGTGCTTAAAGGGTCCCGACCCCCACCCCGGACAGACAGTTCTCAGGGGTGCCCCACTTCCAAAGCAGTCCTGGCTTGGAGTGCCCAGAGTACCCACACTGGGCACATCACAGCACTCGGCCATCAGACCGGCTGCACTTGCTGCAGGCTGCCATCTGGGGAGAGGGGGCAATTAGGGGGCTGCAGGAGAGCTTCCACCCCTAGAAGCCCGCAGAGCCAGCCCAGTCCTCCCCATCGGGGGCGCGTGCCTCATTCCTCCCTCACCTTCTTCCACTTACCCTTCCCTAGCCCCTCTTCTTGATGTACAAAATAAAAATAACGTGTCTTCCAAAATGGAATCTGTCTTTATTGAACAAAACTGGGGGAGACTGGGAAAAGGAGGTGGGAGAGGGGAAGAGAGAGGCTGGGAGAGGGGAGGGCAACTAAAATGATCAGGGGTTGGGAACAGGTCCCATATGAAGAGAGGCTAAACAGACTGGGACTTTTCAGCTTAGAAAAGAGGAGACGGAGGGGGGACAGGATAGAGGTCTCTAAAAGCAGGACTTGGGTGGAGAGGGTGCATACAGAAAAGTTCTTCATTAGTTCCCATAAAGAAGGACTAGAGGACACCAAAGGAAAGGAATGGGTAGCAGGCTTCAAACTAGTAACAGAAAGTTCTTCTTCACAAAGCAAAGAGTCAACCTGTGGAACTCCTTGCTGCAGGAGGCTGTGAAGGCTAGAACTAGAACAGAGTTCAGGGACGTGAGATCAAGTGATGGAGGTTGGGTCCATGGAGTGCTATTAGCCAAGGGGTAGGAGTGGTGTCCCTGCCCAAGGTTTATGGAAGGCTGGAGAGGGATGGCACGAGACAAATGGCTTGGTCACTGTCTTCGGTCCATCCCCTCCAGGGTCCCTAGGGTTGGCCACTGT